TTGGTCCAATGACTTCGTAAATATTTTGGCAAATTTTCCATCGGAGCATACTGGCCTAACGTTCGCAGTTTACGTGTGTCTGCTGGAACGCCGCTATAGTTTTCTAGCGCTCAGCTGTAAGTATACAAAACAACCTTCTCGGCAGCTTAATGTAATCTCTTTTTGAACATGTTTTTGGAGCAAATGAAACATATGAATTTAAATAGCAGGTAAGCAACCGATAATAATAAGAAAAATGTTAACATTTCACCTGCAATTCCGTGTCGCGTGTTGGACGAAGATCAGGGTCGTAGGGAAGGAACTTTTTTTCAATCTCCAGCCCCTCATAAAACGCAATGTGTTTAAGCTGAGGAAAATATTGCAAAAAATACAATCAGAAACACAGTCTGGCCGCTTTCGTCGTCTTTAAATGCTTTTTAATTTAAACTTGCTTAAATTGATGCATGATATATCAAAGTATTTAGAGAGTCTAGTTGTAACTTTCTTATATAGATGACTCAGTTTCCGTCGTGCTTTAGCTAACTTATATATACGTACGTATTTACTGGCACAAGATTCATTTTCTCCAATCAATTCTAAGAGTTCGTCCGGTGTAAGGTCCGTTTTAAAATAGTGGGTGTGATTCTGCAGCGTTACCTGTAAAACAAAAAGACATTGAAACAAAATCTTTCAATCTTTCGGTCGTCAGTGTTCTATACGTTCAAGCAGCAACTGTAGTCTGCAGACTGTCTGTGAAATTCCGACTGCTTCGTTTTGCTCAACTAATTAAATAGGCGTCCTTACATGCAAAATAAAATAGCTTATTGTACGAGAATTGATATTATCCCCTTGCGAGCTTATTGTGTCTGTAAGATGGTGTTTATCTTAAAAATATCCCACGTTATGGATAAAATTAAATACATTGCTGATATTAGTGGACTGCTGTCACGGTAAAGATAAGTTCTAGACCATCAATATTCAGACTGAGAGCTGCAATTAATGGAGAGCTTGTGTTGCTGATGCTCAGCTACTTACGTTGGAACATTTGCATTGTTTTTAACACAGTTTTTATTTTCTCTTCATTGTTCATTTGGCAATTTTTTTCGTACTTGACTCTCTTATCTATTACTGAACATTTATTCATGCCAATGCTGGAGTGTTGAACCGTGATGGAAGTCATATTTGAGGGAAAGTAGGCCTTAGCTTCACATTTTCCAGTTTAACTTTCAACATCCTAGTAGGTAAAAAGAATCAGTCGGCCACTGCATAACGCATGCATCTACGCTATCAGCTCTTCAGCGTGCAGTTGGCAGTCGAATTTGCATATCGTGCATGAATTTGGGGACTATGGATTGACTTTATGCTATTGACATAGAAAGAAGAAATAGCGCAATTATTACATGTTTGCTTATCATAAAAAATAATCAACTATTTATAGATATATCTGTACGTAAGCGATAAACTCCTATTGAGAAGAATATTTTTTTTATTTTGTGAATTTTCGTGTTTGGTGTCTCAACTCGTCGTCAGACAAATGAGAGCATTGCGAAAACAGATAACTCAACACTCATTTGTCTAACGACGACCTGCAGAACCAGAATCGAAAATGCACATAATAAACATTATTTTCTATCAAAGGAATTTATCGTTAACAATATATGTCGCTCCGAATGCCTATATTTCAGCACATGTATGTATGAAAGGAGAAGGTAAGACAGTCTCTGAGGGAGAATTATTATTCGTCTGAGGTTTCGCATTCATGCTCGAG